CAGTGTGGAACTTTAAAGAAGAAAGGGCTGAGATCAAAATGCTCCCATTTTATTTTAATGGGTGGGGAGGAAGGGCTGATGTCAGCTCAATTTTGTCACGCCTCGGATAATGAAATTAGCGAAAGAGTTGCCGTGGATCAGAAATAGTGACCACTGACTTTAACCTGCCCGGGTCCTTGACTTGTTGTCTCTAATCTACTGAATTAGAATTTAAACAGGTTTCTATTTTGGGAAAAATTTGTCGGTTTGATTTATCTTCTATCGGAAAAATCATGAAAATGACAACGATCTTACCAAGATAAACTACCCACTGAATAAATAATATGAGTCAGAGGAACGTAAACGAAGAGTACGGCAAAGACCCTCTCAAGAGGGCGTCAACAGTTAGGGAAACCTGATATTCGTTGGTAGATGTCACAAGGATTATTTAACTTAAGAGAATGTCACGATTTTAATTACTAAAATTTAGAACCAAGGAATGAGTAATCAAAGGTCATCTGTCTTCCACCCCTCGTCTTTTTGAATTTCGGTTTGTAAAAGTGCTTCACAGTTATCTACAAATCATCTAGCGTTTTATGCATCAGCCGAAAGAAAAAGGAACTCGAGCTGTGGAATTCTTTCCAGAGCCTCGAGTAACAGATTGCTGAAACTCCTGTCGTTTCCAGGTAAGACTAAGTGCAGCGGTTTAGAAGATGTTTTGATGACAGTTGTCGTTTGCAGTAGCCCCCATTGTGAGATGACTGAACAACGGCTCAGTAAAACTATCATCGTGTGTACAGTCGTATTTTATTCTAGTGTAACCAAAAGCGAAGCAAGATCAAGTTAGTGAGTCTGAAGATAATGTAGGTTCAAGATCAGCCTCTGATAAACCTCGAGCGCGAGGTCAATACCTTTCGTTTGTCAGAAATCTGATGAGAAAAATTTGAGCGCTTAGACTATTGTAAAATCTTTGGAAAGAGACTTACCATTTGTGAAAAATCGCCTGGAGCCAAGGTTATGCTGGCATGTAAACCATTTCAGAACAAACCAAGCGGTGGCCGCGAACTCAAGGGTGGAAGAGAGGTGTTGTTGATCAAGCGGTTGTAACACCAGGTTGGTTGCCGTTCGCAAATCTACCGCTTTTTGTCTCTTATCGGCTGCCAATCGCGTTCAACGCATGTAAGTGTGTTCCACGTTGTGGACGTTCGTACCTGAATTGACCGTCTGTGCAGTCACATTGACTCGTGCATTGAAGAGTATACAAATTAACCCGGTTTTAAAAAATATTTCACCATGGTCACTGTAATTGTATTAGGTAACCGGCGAGTAGACATAATCAAAGAACACTGAGTAAAACTACCAAATCACAGAATCGATAGAGGAAATCCTCTTTCTGTCTCTGGAACATTGATTCAAATCATTTCCATTTTCACTTAAATGAAGGACACATTCCTCTGCCCCTCGGTCGCTTTCAGCCGGGAATTTTCCATTTTATATTTACGGTTATTCAAACGTGCCGCAGCCAAATTTTTAATTTGAACATAAGATTGTCATGTAAGGGACAAATTATCAGGAATGAAGTTATTAGAGATAAGCAAAGGTGTCCAAGAAACCCTGATTTACCTTCGTATTGGCATGTTTAAATTGAACTCAACTGATAAATTCGGTAATGAAATGATCGCCGAAGTGCTCAAGAAACATGTTTAATATTTCCTTTGTGTTATTTTTTTCAGCTATGGAGGTTCCTCAAGAGAAGAGAGATCCGAAGATCGAAAACAAGACAGTTTCTCAGGTTTGAAAACACCGAATGTGAAATAGCAGTTTTCTATTATGAAATCTTTCTTGCTTAGACTAGAGCTACATATTTGGTGTTAACTGTAACAAAGATCATGACCTTAAATTGATTTGAAAGCAAACCCATTACAACGACTCGAAGATGGGAAACATAGTTTAAGTGTGCTTTCGCAATATTGCATGGTTTTTCAGAGTTGTTAGTTAGAGCCTAAATCCGAAAAAAATTGCTGGTTAGTCTGCTATCTTTGGTGGATACTTCACTTTATTTTCCTTAAAGTGATGCATCATTGGTCATATCAGGTTTATAAAACCCATTGAGCACAAAAACTTAAACATGTTTCAAAGATGGTCAAACACAGTTTGAACTATTTTCCTTTATAGAATCTAGAAGCTGCTTTTAATGCTAGCGTTACAAGATAACGTACAAAAAAATTAGTCGCACAACGATCACATTACATTCACGATCATAGTAACGTCAAAGAACTGTTTTTTGAGCCAAAACAGCCAGCACGAAGGTAAAACTTTCTCTAAAATGTCAAAGCATGTGCAATCCCCAAGAGACTGTCACGACACATGCAACGGTGTAAAACCGGAAATAATGTTAAAACGGAAATGAAATTGCAGCCACAGGGGCTGCTTAAACCAATGTTTGTATGCTTAAATGTGGCACAAATTTAATCCCATGAAAAATTTAGTTTTTAAGTTCTCTGTTTCTAATTTATATTCGGTTGCAAAAGCGGCTTAAAGGAAGTTTATTCAAAAGAAGGTTGCTTAAAAGTTTATTTTGCTACAAAATATAGAAAGGTGTTGAATTGAAATCTGTAATTGGTGAAATGAACTCAAATCTGTAAATCTGTAATTTCGAGTTTGCGAAATTGAAAACAAGAGAAAATCAAGGCCATTAGCCGGATGAATTTTTCATTTAAACCCTTTTACGGCCTCGGGTCTATTAAGACCTATATTAGGATATGTTTTGTTTAGGTTATGGTGGTGCCTGTGGAGTGTAGAAGGAGGGGGAACACACAGCATTTGTTATTTTGTAACAGCATTTGTTACTGATCCTCAAACTATGACGGGAGAGTTTAACATAATTTCTTCACTTCAATATCAATTTCTGCGTAAAAGCTCAACGGCCAATAATAAGGCATAACCCTAAGGCTGATTTTCATTTTACAACGGAGTCGGTCGTTATTGAGAAAGTGCAGATTAACAAATCAAGTTGAAACCAGCTGGTTTGATCTTCCGCTTCTGCCTTCAAAGAAGTTTTTCACTGATCCGTGCATCGGAGTCCAAAGCACAATCAGAAAAAAATGAAGCTGTTCTGATTCTTCCGGCCATTGGCCGCATGACTCCGCTCATGACTCTGTTTTTTAGTTTTCACCCAGTCGGAAGTGCCCTTTAATGACTCAACTACAACTCTGACTCCGTCGCTAAGTGGAAACCAGCCTAAGACAGCTTGAAGAGAAGGATATCCCAAAAGATTACTTATTTTTGTTTTTTTTTTTTTTCATAGTTTTAGGGATAAGCTGTGGGTAAGGACCGGAAAGCATTTGCAATAAAACTCATCCAGGGTCAAGTTCAATGTAATCTATCAAGCTATGTACACATTTCTCAAGTCTCCAATCAAATAAGCCATTTGTTTAATAAAAACATTATTTACATTGAATTATACGGATATTTTGAATAAGACTAAAGGCAGGAAGGTGAATGCAAATGAGGATCTTTTATTTTGAATGAAGGAAGGAACTTTGTGCTTTTATGATCGCTGGATTATCTCTATTTTTTTCACAAAACTTTTTTTTTTCTTTCATATTGAGGGTAGGTGAAAATTTGCAAAATACCGAAAAGTTGAAAGACCCAACAACAAAGCTGGAGAGGGAGAGACTTTAAAAACCTTGGCAATGCCTATCAGAGCTCAGGCACTTTTCGTGAGGCCAGTTACACCATGAGCATCACCTGCAAATTGCAAAAGGATTGGGACAAAGCTGGAAGAAGAGGTTTATGGTATCTTGGCACCGCCATCTAATCTTAGGCGATTTTAATAAGGGCAATCGAGTACCAAGGAGTATTGGTTCAAATTGCAAAAAGAAGTGGAGACAAAGTGGGAGAAGGAGGGCGAGGAGTCTGGCATTGCTCTATGATAACTTAGGGTAATTTTTAAAGGCAATAGACTATCATGAGCGTCATCTATAAATTGGTAAAAAGAAGTGGGGGACAAAGATGAAGAAGGAGGAGCTTATGGAAATCTTTGGCAATGCCTTCAGAGCTTAGCGGATTTTCATAAAAGCCATCCATTACCATGGGCGTCAACTACAAATTACAAAAGAGGTGGGCGATAAAGCTAGAGAAGGAAAGGTGCATGGAAATCTTGGCAATGCCTATAAGAGCTTTAGGCGATTTTCATAAGGCAAACAAGCACCATGAGCGTCGTCTACAAATTGCAAAAGAGGTGGGGATAAAGCTGGAGAAGGACGGGCTTATGGAAATCTTGGCAATGCCTATCAGAGCTTTGGTGATTTTTATAAGGAAATCGAGTACCATGAGTGTCATCATTCACAAATTGCAAAAGAAGAGGGGGATAAAGTTGAGAAGGACAGGCTTATGGAGGTCTCCTGGCATGCCTATCAGTGCCTGAGTGATTTTCATGAGGCAGTCGCATATCATGAGCATCACCTACAAACTGCTAAAGAAGTGGGGACAAAGCGGGAGAAGGAAAGGCTTATTGTAATCTTTAGCAATGCCTATCAAAGCTTAGGCAATTTTCATAAGGCAATTGAGTACTGTGAGCGTGACCTACAAATTGCAAAAGAAGTAGGGGAAAAAGCTGGAGAAGGAGGGACATATGGAAAATCTTGAATGCCTATGAGAGTTTAGGCGATTTTCACAGGGCAATCGAGTACCATGAGCATCGTCTGCAAATTGCGAAAGAGGTGGGGATTGCTGGCTGGAGAAGGGCGAGCTTATGGAAATCTTGGTAATGCCTATCAGAGCTTAGGCGATTTTCGTAAGGCAATCCAGTACCATGAGCTTCGTCTACAAATTGCAAAAGAGGTGGGGGATAAAGCTGAGAAGGACGGGCGTATGGAAATCTTGGCAATGCCTATCAGAAGTTATGCGATTTTCATAAGGCAATCAAGTATCATGAGCATCGTCTACAAATTGCAAAAGAAGTGGGGGATAAAGATGGAGAAGGACAGGCTTATGGAAATCTTGGCAATGCCTATTTTATGCTTAACCACATCTCTAAAGATCGAGGTTCATTTTTGAAAGCCCGTGACTGCTTTAGTTCCAGTTTGTCAAAGTTGAATGAAATAAGGACTCATCTCCAGTTTAATGACGAGTGGAAAATTAGCTACCGCGATACGTATAACAATATATACAATAGTTTGTGGTGTCTCCATTTAAACCAAGGTGAAGTTAATGATGCCTTGCGTGTTGCTGAGGATGGAAGGGCGCAGGCTCTAAAAAGATCTCATGGAAGAAAAATTATGGGTGTCAAGACGTATACTCTTGGTCTCATTCCTCAGAAAAGTCGACTGGTTCCTCTCTTAGATCCATTCATTCGACAACAGTTTTCATAGCTCTCAATAGACAAGAAATAATTTTCTGGGTCATAAGGAAAGATGAAGAAGTCACCTTGAGGAGAAGAGAGGGTAAGAGACTATGTTTCCGAAGAAGACGTGAGAACTTTCCTTTCGACTCTACACCATACCACCTTGGACGAAATTGGTGTACGTGCTGGCGTTAAAATCGAAAATCGCTCACTTGATGAGTCACGTGAGGTGGGGTGCACGACTGACAGGGCCCCTGTCAATATTTCTCAACCTCTTTCATCACAGGAAAGCTTTAAAGAGCTTTTTGACCTTATCATTGCTCCTGTTGCTGACCTGGTTTATGGAAATGACCTCATTCTCGTTCCAGAAGGTCCATTATGTTTGGTACCCTATGCAGCACTAATGAACCCAAAACAGGAGTATCTGTGTGAGTCTCTAAAGATCAGATTGATTCCGTCCTTGACCACTTTGAAATTAATTACCGATCCTCCAGCTGACTTCCACAATAAGACAGGCGCCCTTCTCGTGGGAGATCCGTACCTAGAGGGAAGTTCTCTATAAAGGGAGAAAGTTGTGTGAGCTGCCATATGCAAAGAAAGAAGTTGAGATGATTGGAAGAATCCTAGGAACGGCTCCCTCATTGGAAAAATGGCGACTAAAGGAGAAGTCTTAAAGCGACTATCCACGGTTGCTTTGGTGCACATCGCCGCACATGGCAAAATGGATACAGGAGAAATTATTTTGGCCCCAAACCCTGCTGAGGAATCCCATCATCCTGAGGAGAAAGACTTTTTTGTTGACGATGGCGGATGTATTGGAAGCTAAGCTGCGGGCAAGATTGGTTGTGTTGAGTTGCTGTCATAGTGCTCATGGAGAAATAAAGGCTGAGGGAGGGTTGGCATTTCTCGAGCATTTTTAGGTGCTGGGGCTCGGTCCGTTTTGGTGTCCCTCTGGGGAATCGATGACGAAGCCACTTTCCGGTTCATGAAACATTTCTATAAAGAACTAGTTAAAGGAAGGAGGGTCAGTGAAGCTCTTAACCAAGCCATGAAATGTATGAGAGAGTCTGAAGAGTTCGGGGAAGTAAAGTACTGGGCACCATTTGTTCTCATTGGGGATGATGTCACTCTGGAGCTAAATGGAACTGATTCAGTTTAGTCGCCGCTGAATGTAAATATAACTTGTTTTGATAATTTCCTTTAATGCTCTTAATACTCTTAAAGTGCTTAGTCTTGACGTCAAATTTTACACACTTCATTCATCTGCATTCTCTATTGCAATAAGACTCTCTTGCAAACCCATCCAAATTTCATTTCATTTCAAGCCACAGGAGATATATTTGTGGACTGTTTCATACGAGATTTTGCGGCCGCCATTGTTTGGCTTTGCTCCAGAACCTGATTGCGATTTCATAGGAATGGGCGTTCAAGGATGAACGCAGAAAACTCACCTGACTAACTCTAATAAGATGATAACGAGGTTCCTTACTTTATTCTGTACATCATATTCCCGTCAAGAAGATAACACAGCTAAGTCTTTTAGAGGCTTGAGACATTGTGGATAGAAATTGTTGAGTTTTCTAGCCACTGTATAAGCAGTACAAAATGTACTCCAGCCAACAAAAAAACAATCGATCAAACAAGGAAAATGTAAAGAGGACAGTCAGAGTTTTAAACAAACTGCATGGTGATTTCCTTTATTTGTCAAAATACAAGAAGTTTCCAATGGTGTTGTTCTTTTTCTACCCATAGATGGTCGCTGCCCGAAGAAGATAAATGAAAACTACAATTGTCATTGTCCGTCAGTTAAGATTAACATGGGAATGGATCTTGATGTGATAAACCCTTTCAGTGCCATGGCCGGTACTATTCTGTATTTCAAACAGCATGAAATAAATCAAAATTTAGGAGTTTGGAAATAATCTGGCTCTCTTTGCATAGCAAAAGATCAATGTTACTAGGAAAAATTTTTTTATCTGCACATGTTTGACAAATCGTAACAAACCTTAGTCACTAGTTGAATTTTATATGTTGTAACTTATCAAATTTAGGAGTTTGGAAATAATCTGGTTCTATTTGCATAGCGAAAGATGAATGTTAGTTGGCAGAATTTTTTTTTTTGATCCGCTTGCTCTTTGACAAATCATAACAAACCATAGTCACTGGTTTGATTTTATATGTTGTAACTTATCAAATTTGATAATCAACTTGATAGAATACATACACATGATTTAACCGTATAAATATATTGGTTTTAAATTTAATAACAAGTAAGAGTTTAGGTTTAAAAAATGTGGACAGTACACAGGCAGCGGAGGGCCTAGCACCCTTACCCCCCCAATTTTAATTGGATTGGTATTTTGATTTTTAGGTTGTTATAGCTTACTTAGAATATTCCTGTATACTGTTTTCATCGGCAGGTGTTGTATAAGTTGACTGTTGATATCAAACAAGTAGTTGAATGATTGCTCATGTTTATTTTAGAATGCAAGTAACTATTTTATTAAAGGAAGTGCTTCGACTTCAGCATTGGCTTTTAAGTATAAACGCGGAGAATTATTGCATTGGAGTAGTTTAGAGATTTGTTTTTGGTATGGTTTTAGGGTACACGGAAATGACCTACTTCAAATTAATATGCATATGCTAGAACTGATTTGTTTTTAAAGTACAATCTTCCCTTTTTGGACGTACTTTTAATTGAGAAGCCGAGTCATTATTTTTGATATTCACTCATTTGACCTAATACCAGTCTTTCACAGGCTATTCCTTTCCGGAATTTTTATAATCACTGATTTAGTACCATGATCTGAAGTTTTGTGTTTTTTTTTGCTACTTTAACCCAAGCCATGCCAAACCAATTAGCAAACCAATTGATGGCATTACCATCAGTTGGCCCTTCTCCAAATACAAACTGTTTACTCTTGTTGTAAATTATTGTCACGCAACTACCTTTAAACAGTGTTTCTGTAAACATATCAATGTTACAGTTACATGAATTTCCTTAAAGTTGTACCTAGTAATTTTTATATTGCTCACGTTCGTTTATTTTGGCCTGGAGACCCGCGAAGGACAGCGAACCTTTTAACATGAAAAAGATTTTGACGATGTTTATTTGATGTTAGGTCTTTATGCTGATCATCTCTTTGGACAAGCGCAGTTTGGTAACAACCTACTGTGCAAGGCACGACGTAAGCATAAATTAATAACGGGTGATAGTTTGATGACCGACTATCAATCTCCTGTCAGTTCTAGCTTGGTCACCTTAAAAGAACGTGAGCAACATTCTCGTAGGCAGTGGAGCAGTTATCAGCTGAACAGTTGAGTTGTCAAGTTAAGCCTAACAAGTTGTATTACAATCCAAGCCATTAAACAAGTGTGAATTTACAGTTGCAGTTTACGTTGTTTGGTAGTTCAGATAGTCCCAAACCAAAAGACTTCTTAACAGTTGGCCATATATGTTCCCCAAAAGGACGTTCGGTCCTAATAAACGTTGAGTAATTAACAACTTTTCAGGTGGGTGTCGATGGCTAGTGGAGAATATTTACCGTATGCACCCTCTGATTGGCTACTCAAATGCCGTACAGCCTTTGCTATCTACCTCCGAGCAACTTGCACTGGATTTGCCCACGCACATATTGTAATCGTTGCAGGAATAAATATCAACCACTAGCCACCTCCACTTTGGTGAAGAGTTGTTAGACGTTTGAACTTTAATTCCCTGAAGTGATTGGATGAAGAAAAACAAAAACCAAAATAACCAAAAAGTGTCTTCAAGAAAGGATATCCCTACAATTCTTTTTCTGAGCACTGCTCTTATTAATCATATTCCTGACAAATTACTTTATAGGCAAGTTATTTGAAACCTAGATGAAAGAGTAATATCGAAGGCATGTGAGGTTTGGTTTGTTAATTTATTTCTAATTGAGCGAACATAATACTCCTGAGTGGCAAATATTTTTTCTCTTGGTAAAATAGTGATCATATGTGGTGGCTGCTTGAAATGAATTCTTCAGGAAAACATTAGTCTTCAGATATTTTTTTTTAATGTTCGTGCACGAATTAAAAAGACAAAAAAAGAAAAAGTCAAATGATCAGCAAAAATGAATGGGCAAATCAGATATGTCTGTGATGACAGCTTATCAAATGATCACAGTGTAATAAAGGTGTGAAAGTGTCACCAGAGATCAACTGCATATCAGCTGTTAGATCACTATGGCAGTGTGATCTGCTGTAATATTTGTGTTAGACCCAAGGAGCTCTATTCAAAGGGATGCTCAGAGTGACGCCTGAAAAGAGATGTTTAGAACTCAACCATAGATTTTCTTTTTCTTCCAGCCCTCTAGGAATTAGTGGTAAAATATATACTGCAGTGTGTTTGCTACTGCACTTTGGGACTTCAGAAAGTAACCTAATCTATTCAAGCATTCTCTTCCACTGAGTCGAAATTTGGCAATGGGCATTCTTGTGCCCTTCAAGTGATTACTGAAAATAAAAATACACAAAGATTCAAAGTAATAAATTAAAAGCACTATTGGGACTGTGATGCTCTCTAACCTCAAAGTGTGTATTTTTGTTTTTGTTTCTATTTTTCATTTAACATTTTCAAACCAAAACCAAAACAAAGGTCTTGCTGTTAAACCTTATTGATATAAGATTAATTAAGGCTCAATCAAAATTGTATATTGTGCTGTCCATGACAAGAAAAAGATTACCATGTTCAAATTTGTCTCAGCTGGTCTCCTTTAATAGCTAACTACATTAAGTCATGGTGTGGCCTTTTCACTCCCAGGATCAGAGGGCTAACTAATCACTCAACTGACAACCTCACAGTTTCTTTTCTTTAGTAGTGCTGAGAATATGCTTAAGATTGTTTTAATGCTCAACCAACAATCATTGTCAAGTTGTCTTTTTAAAGCCATGCTTAACTTTTGCCAATATCAAGAAGCTCAAACAGAGCAAGAATTGTTTGTTTCTGTGGACTGGAATAACCCTCAAGATTTTGGAGAGTCAGAACTACTAGTGTACAAAAATTTGGAGCCTGACAGAGCCTGAGTACCACCCAATTACTGTTCCTAGAGTCAGAGACTTTCTGACAGCAGATGAAAGGTAACATATATCAATGTTACCTTTTTTCATTTCTTTCAATAAAATAAAACAAGTGCTGTGGGAGGTAAAGCCTTAATTTTAAGGAGAGTTACTTCCAAGATTATTTCATTTAAGTTGATTGTCATATTTCCAACAATCTGGCAATGAAAAGACTGCCTTACACCTGAAGAGATAGTTGGCATAAAAGTGTTATGAATTGTTCATGATAAGGATTGATTTATTTTCTTTCATTTATGAGTAAGACAGCAGGATAAAACAATAGTGCAGTGTACCTTTGTGCAGGAAGCCTCCCCTCATTAATCCTTTGGCCCCTAAGAATGACTAGCATCTAACTTCTCCTTACTATAATGATCACTCCTGAGTCAAACATGAAAGTCATGAGAATAGAACAGATGATCACCAACTAGAGCAGCTCTTGACTGTTAAACAAATTCTCCTTGTCAGCCTCTTTAGAAATGTATGGAGAACAGTATGGAGAATATGCATACTGATATTAAGGTGTAAAGACTTCCATGTAACTAGCGCTTACTAATCCTTGCCAAATAAAAGAAAGTTAAGTAAGTCACCTTTGTGAATATTGTTAAATTATGAAACAACTTTGATATCTTTCCTTTCCCAGCTTGGAAGAAAACAGACAAATTTCAATTTCTTACACTCAATTACTGTTAATGTCAGACTAAAAGTTATGGACATCAGAAAAGGTCAAGGAATGTTATGTTACACTTTCTAAAAAGAAAGCATATTGATACAAGACATAATAATAGCAAGGGGATCAATTTGTGTTGTTATTTGGCCTCTATTGTTTGATAATAATAAGTAATAAAATTGAAATAAACAATTGTGAAATTATGGCATTTGTTATTTCAGAGGTCAAGAGAAAAAGAAATGCCTGCTGAGGATATTTTTTTTTAACATTTATCAATTTACTTTGCAACAAATAATTACTTTATTAAGATTTTTATATCCACAGGTTACTAACAAACTCATTTACACAATTAAAGTAGGAACATTTCAATTTATTCTTAAATATGGTCTACATTTAAACCAAGAAGG